TTTAGGCCAGAATGATTTAAAATTGAAATATGACTTCCCTACGATTCTAAACGCTACAAGAGCTAACGTTGATGGACCTTCTGTCTGAGCTTCAGGTAGTTCAATGTTAATACATAGCACTGCCTCATGTGAATACAAATATATGCAATACTTTTAAGATTAAAGCATTTCCACTTATCCATCATTAACTACTACTATTAGTATTTGTTGTTTTTTTTTTTTTATCTCAAAGTTTATTGCTGCCAATGTTGAAAAGTTTAAAAGGAATAAATTTTTTTGTAAAGGCAATGCTTACCAAGCTACAGTATATGTTGGCACTATATAATGTCTTTCTCTTTACCTACCGCAAATTTAATGTCTTTTCATTTACACATTTACCATGATCTAAATGTTATTTTTAACCAGGAAACTGAAGACAGTCTGTTAATTATTCCACAAAGACAGGTGACACAGTGTCTCAAATGTATCCATACATATTCTCCAAATTGGGTTCATTAACCTTAATTAACCTTGTTCTGCAATATGCTGCATATTGTCAAGTCGGTTTGAGCAGCGGTGTGGATGCGCCTGCTCTCCTTGCAACCTTGCACATCACCAAAACTGCCAGCAATCCTCTTTCAAATTAGATTACTGATTAGTTCACCACCAAGTGATCTAAATGTAAAATTATTGCACTTGCTGATTTATGCAGAGGACTGTGAGGTCAGATAATATGTCATATTGCCCGCAGCAAAGGTTCATTACCAGGCAGTCTTGAATTATTTCTTTAAGCATAAATCTGCTCTTAAGCCTTGTGAACGGATTAGCTAATAGTTATTTAAATCCTATTAAGGAGATGATTTCTTTTATTTTTCTGAAGATTAATGCCAGATTGATGCCTTTAGGGGCTAATAGATGTGTCTGACTCAGAGGGTTAAAATACCTCAGTATCTTGTTATTGCTTGTAACTCATTAAAAAAGTGGTTCTGCATTCGTACCTCTGTAACTATAGGTGCAGTTCAGGTCAGAAGTTTACATACGCAGTAATCATGATATATTTTCTACTGCAGTATTTATCTGGAATGATCATATTACAGTTTCTTAATTTTTACAATTGCTTTGTCCAAGGCACCCGTGTCACTGGATGTAATGAAGGCACTTGTGGTGCTCCTAACACCACCATGTTTAAGACTTGATATATTGCTCTCCTTTCAAGAAAGCCTGACCTAGGTTACTATAAAAGTACATCTTGCCCTGGCTAAATTTCTCGATCTGTGACTCTTTTGATGATACAACTGATCTCCAGAAGGTATTTTGCTTCTCATATGGGTAACTGCAAACCTAAGCAAGACTTCACTATCTGAGTTTCAGAGACATGGATTCTCTCAGATGATGTTAAGGTTAGACTGTCCAGACGTTTTAGGTTCAGTATAGCCTTCAGGCGTGGTGATTCCATGGAATTTTCTTGGACCAATATATTTAATCTGAGGGTGAAAGTTTGTTTAAAATAAGAACATACAAAGATCATTAGCCTTCACGATAGTGACATTTATATGCCCCTTGCTGACAATAATGAAATGTTAGCGTGGGTGTACATGCATTTAAACCAATATATATTATTTTGATTCAATTTGGAAAACGGATAATAACTTTAAAGTTTCCACCAATTTCTTGTTTTCAAAAAGCACTAAAGAGGTTGAAAGTTATCCCAACCTAAATCAAAAACACTTCAAATCTCTTATTTGGGCAGGTGGGGTTCATTCTGAGTGGAAGTAACCATTTAACACTTATCAGCACGGAGAGCAAACCTA